AGAGCGAGAAATTGGTACATATACACTGTACATAAACAATGTACACGTCAGTAGACTTGTAAACTATTGATAATTGTGATAATTGTGTGATCCCATGCATGCCTGCATATCATCAAATAGTGACTGTACTTTAATTGATACAAACTCAAACTTTAACCTGAGGACTATGACTTTGATATATTTACATCAGTGTCTATTCATCCAATACCTTTATTCATTACTTCTTGTTCTGTACATGTATCATGTACGTACATGTACAATGTATATCAATATACATGTACATGTATATGCATATCATTTACACATTTATTTCTACATGTATATGTACATGTACATGTATATCTAACATAATTATTATCTTCTTTTTTTTCTTACAGTTTATCCTGACATTGTTACCCTAACAGCATGATGTCCGATAAAGCCACGCCTCCTAAAGTATCAGCAATGATATCCGTCTTTGACGGTAAGAAAGAACAGCCTCCACCCGCCACAAAAGCATCAGTGACTCCCCCCACTGTTGGTGTATCTGTACCAAGACGAAAACTAAGAGAAGCTGGCTCACCCGAGAAAAAGCCTCAAGGACAGAATGACGAGACAAAACCAGTTCCATCAGTGACTATGACTGGACCTTTTAAACTGATTCATGTATCAGGATCAGGCCAAGTGGTGGATGAGAAAGCCCCAATGTTATCAAGAACACTCAATCACTTTAAGTCTGGCGGTAACCTCTCATCAACAAAGCCTGCTAGTGGTAAAGGGGCCGCTAAAGAGCCTGCTATTAAGCCTATGGGGTATCAGTCCAGCCCAACTCATGGTGGGAGGAAAATATCAGCCCCAGTGACTATTAACTGCTCTGTGCCTAGGAAGGAAAGAAAAGCACAAGAGAAATTAAAAGAGAGTCAGGAGGAGGAGGAGAGTATATTGTCTAAAAGTACTCCTCAATTTTCCTCTCCTAATCGCTCGTCTGATTCTCACTCTGTCTCTCCCTCTCCTCCATCAAAGAAACCCAACCCACGACAATCCTCCCTTCCCTCAGAAACCATGCCCACAACCTCCTCTTGTGCTATAAAGCAGCCTGGGGGTACATGGTTCCCCTCGTCCCGTCGGTCCTACAGGAACACCGAGGCTCCACCCCCAGTACAGTTTAGAGTACGGACCTGGGACAGATTAAGTACTGGCAATACTAGACAAGTCAAGAGGAGCCAGTCATTCACATCAAGAACCAAAACTGAAGCATCTGGTGAGAGACAGCGATCCACTTCACCTTCTTCTTCCTCCTCCTCTTCCTCTTCGCCTCAAAAGAAATCCTTGGGTGGTGCAAAGCCAAACAGTATTGATCTTAACACTAGGTCACAGTCTGCTCTTGCTGGCTCACTCACTGAAGAGGAAATCGATGAGAGAATCTCTGCATCAGTTCATACCTCACCAGCTCCGGCTAGAAGAGATGATAAATCAAGGAGTGTTGTCCTCAGTCCTCAGATATCAGTTGAAGTATCTCGTAACAAGTATTGGTCTTCTATTCGTCCTCAAAGCACTTTTGGTAAAGCCTCTTCGCCTCAACTAGGAAGCAAGAGCAAGCCTAGCACAACAAGTGGGTCAGTAGCTTCCTCTAATTCTTCCCTACCTCCTCCTGTCCCTCCTCCCAAGCCCACCAGATCAACTGATAGCCAGAAATCAAAGACTCTGCCCTCAAGAAGAAGCGTTGGTGGGTATTCGCCGACACACACCAGCAGTGCTGCTAACAGATTATCACAGTACCAGTCTAAAGGGACTACTAGTAAAGAGGGAGGACCAGCCACTGGGTTTATGAAGAAGGACAGTCCTAGAGATGGGAAGAGTCCTACAATGGGATCCAGTAAAAGGGAGTCTGCTGCTTCAATCAAGAAGGAAGGTAGTCCTGTTTTCTCTCCTGCTAAAAGAAATAGTTTAAAGAAAGAGAGCAGCCCTGTGCTCTCCACCAGGAGCACCAGGAAGGAGGGTAGTCCTGTAATGTCTGCTAGTAGAGACAGCCCAAGGAGAGGTAGTCCTAATCTACCATCAACAAAGAGAGAGAGTCTGGCCTCAGTCAGGAAAGATGCTCCTAAAAATGAAGCTGGTTCTTCATCATCTAAACTACAGCGGCCGGTACAGCGGAGTCGTGATTATGCTAATGTCCAGTTTTCACATGATACTACTACTAGCAGTGAAGGAAGGAGAAAAGTATCTAATGATATTGGCTCCACTGCCAGCGATCATATTGATTACTCTCCCGGTCAAAAAAAGAAAATAAAACTGATGGAGAGAAAAGATTCTAAAGATAAATCAATGACACTTCCAGGCTCTTCACGTGCAACTGCCTCAATGAAGAAACACCATGATACTGAATCAGTCCCTTCCTCTTCTCCGAGACTGTCTCGACTAGCAATGGAAAGACGAGGCTCCCCATCTACTCCTCCACTGAGCATAAAATCAAGGATAGCAATATTCCAAACTAAAGAGGATGTCTCACTCAGCTCAACACTACCCAGGAATATGTATAGCTCCAGTAACAAGAGACCAGTGTCTGAATATAATCAAGTCCCCTTGATGAGGGAAAGGGACCCAGGAGCCAAAGATAAGAGGAAATCTCTACCTGCTCCTCCTATTCCTCCTAAGCCAAGGAAGCCTGCTGTTTCAAGGGTTATTTTAGAGTCAGCTCCAGTAACTTTAGAAGAAGAGGAAGACGATGAAGGAGACCGTGAGAGTAAGGGAAGAGGGAGAATGAGGATTCACTCTGATAAGACTGATGGTAACAACGATAGCGAAATCAAGGTTCATATTTTCCAAGAAGGCGAGTCTGAACAAGCCACACCTTTCACAGACGCACCAGCGAATGTGTACGATGACGTTGTGTTCAGTGAAGACACATGTAAGGTGGATAGAGCCGAGAAACCTCGATCAACTCGCTACTCGTATCAGGAATACGCTACAATGAGACGAATGACGCTTTTGAGAAATAGCACATCAAGTTCAAGTGTATCTGAAGCTAATAATAATGACAAAGGACTGGCAGCAATACCTGAGAATACACTCAGTGTGGGCCAGGGAAATAAAAAGGAGGAGAAGAAAGAGGAAAAGGAGAAGGAAGAACCAGATCTCTTTAAAAGGATGTCTGTCATTAGTGGAACCTTTTATGAAGAGATGATTGATTCGATTGCTTTAAAATTAGCAAGTAGTGAAGAAAAAGGCAGAGTGAGTGAAGGAGGAGCTTCTTTGGAGCGAATTGAAAAAGTTAAGAAACAATTGATTGAAGTGGTTGAGGACGCCGTGAGTAACGATCCTCTGATTGAGAGTGAAGAATTTTATGAGTCTTTAGAAGAGTATGGAAGAAAAGTATCTGATTATCTTCATCGTACGCAAGGAGAGAGCACGAGTGAAGAAGTACCGCCAGAACTGCCACCAAGACCTGATTTCCTACTCAAACTAATCAAAGAAGATAACGAAGGAGGAGAGGATGATGTTGATAGAGGTGAGATGAGCTCTCCTAGTATACTCAAACTGGAAGGATATGAGGAAATGAGCTCAGCCAGTATTGATGTACAACCTCCTAGTACAGTGAGTTTATACGAGCCAGTTTCATTTGATGTTACCATGTCACCGAAAGGCAAAGGAAAGAGAAGGACGTCTAAAATTCCTTTTTGGAGGAGTCCGGAACATAAACCCAGCTCACCCACACTGTCACTAGACAGTGCAACTTTGTCTCTTCCAAAATCAGGAAGCAACAAAAAGAGCAATAAAAAGAAGAAAATAATGCCGTCTTTCTCAGTAAGGAGAAGCGTCAAAGTAGAGCCAACGATTACATCCCCAGTACGTTCAGTCTCTGTGAGTGGCCACACCTGTCATTCAGTGACCTCTTCTCCTAGTCATACCACATACGAGGAAATGAACGCTCCGACCTCATCTCCACCTCACATGTACGTTAACATCAGTCGCTCTGTCTCTGTCTCACAACCATACGAGTTTGTGTCTACAGACGAGCCGATCCAACCCACCTACTCCTCAGAGAGCGAGGGAGAGGACGTCAGTGGAGTCTATGATGACATACGGTCTCCGGTCAAGAGAATCTGGAAAGATATTGAGCCACCGGCAACTCCAGAATCTTCCGTTTTTACAGACGACCATGATACATGCGACGGGCGGAGTTTACACGATCCGACTGCTTCTCCACTTGTAACTAAAATAAGATCGACTCACCCAACTCATCAGTACCTCCGTACCAGTAGCAGTGACTCTGCCCTTCACTTGTCTTTCATTGCGACTGGTAGACCATTCCCACCAACCTCGCCCATTCCGTCTTTTGGCGAAATGAGTATGGATAGTAACAGCAATGTTGAGAGTAGTCCTTCAATATGTAGTTATGACTCCAATAGACACAGTGGAGGGGTAGGAGGAGTTGAGTTGAAGGCGTCTCCGATGTGTTCCTTGTCGAGGAAGAGGGTTAAGAGTGATGCTTCTGAGGATCGTTACCACAGTGCTAGGAAGGGGGCACAGCAGAAGGCTAGGCTGATGATGATGGCTAACCACAGGAGGAGGAGGAGGGGGAGTGTCCCTGGTAACCCTGAAACCAGCTCAGTAAGTATACATGTATACATGTACATGTAATATAAGTATGGGATACTTTGTCAGTCGGTGAATTTTGGCTATCAAGTTGCCAAATTTCCAAAACTTCCCCTCCAGAAATTCTGACTACATGTACATGTACAGTTAGTATTATAGTAATGCGATATTAATTACATGTACAATGTACATGCACATTGTTTATCAATGTATGTGTCTGTACAGCGTCCTTATGTGTATAGTAATGTACCTTATTAGGCTTTGTACATACATGTACATGTACATGTATACAGTGTGAATAGACGTGCTGTACATGTACAGTACATTGAATGACATGCAGTTCATGTACATGTATGTGTATACTTGTGTGAATCTATAGTATTAGTTTTCATGATGTACATGTGCATATACAGGTACATATGCATGTGAACATTGAGGCTTTTAAGCAATCAATGATAATATACAATTACATTTAATTGCACTAATAATGTAACAATAGTATTGTGAATGATAATTGATCTATTCTGTGCATGTGTTTGTGTTTATAATGTAAATGAGGAAATAGTAGGATGAAAAAGAGGGAGGGAGAGAGAGGGGGAGAGTTGGAGGAAGAGAGAGGGGGAGAGGGGGTATGTGGGAGAGAGAGTGAAACAGCCAAGTCTCGTGTCTGCCTCTTTACTACACGGACTGTCCATGAAGCAGAGAAATTTCCCAAATAATTTAAACAAATTTTGTTTGTATCATCACTGGCCCACTCCTACACACTCTGCTATGTTGTCTTATACTGATGTTACCATGACAATTCCTTCAATGGTGAGAATGACAGGTATTTTATACAGCAAATTGCAGTGGAGCAATTGTTTTGACTTAGGAAAGTTATGACAGTCATTTGAAGCCCTTTGTGACGAATCCTTAGCTATAACATATTGTTTGAAGTATAACCTAAACATTAACAAAGAGAGAGAGATGGAGGGAGTGTCTTGTTTTATTATGTAAGTATATTAGTCAGTACAAACAATAGCCTTCCTCATTTGTCCTGTTAAGAGTAGAAGCCTTTAGTGACTCTCCTACTTCTTTCTATATCTATAAATGTACAGTGTTTCTGTTTATTGATGCCCTTTAAAGTGGTAAGAATCATATTACATGCTTTGTGCTTAAATGTAAAATGTTTTAGTGGGAGAAAGATGATCTTGCATGTATGTACTGTGTATATTGTAATGTTTTATTTGAGTCTCTTTTTATGTTTTCCTTTATCCCTCTCCCTCCCCCCCTCTCTCTCTCTCCCCCCTCCCTCCCTCTCTCTCTCTCTCCCTCCCTCTCTCTCTTTCTGTCTCTCTTTCTTCCTCTCTCCCCCACAGGTTGATGGTATCATTGAAGTACCAATAGTCTATGCTGATGCTCTGATGGATTGCACTGGAGTAGAGCCATCACATTTGAGTTTCAAAGTGAATGATGTGATAGCAATACTGAACATGACTGATGATGACTGGTGGCAGGGGATTGTTGAGGATAGGATAGGCTGGTTCTCCTCAGCCTGGGTCAGGGTAAGTGTATTGTACATGTACATACAACTCAGTAATTATAGTCTTACTATTTATTAAGTTTAATGAATGTGGCAGGGCACTAGCCCTTTCAAAAATTTTCATCAAAGAATGGACAAATATAATACAATCACAATGTTTAAGTGAAAGCTTTTATAGCCAGTTATTTGAGTGAGGGTATCGTGGGTCGGATATTCAGACTCTCTGTGGTTATCAACTATTATACTTGTATAAACTGTAAAGTACATGTAATTACTCAATTTCGGTAGTACATGTAGTTTTATTGCCTTTTGACTCGAGCCATTTGTAATTTACAAGTATCACAATGTACTTCATGATAGTATACACATGAGTGTATAATACAGTAATTATGTTATTATGATAACTTTAGTAAATATTTGTTGTGTGGGATGTAACTGAATCTAATAAGTTATTATGTTTATTTGTTCATTTGTTGGTGTTTCCAATAAAATATTTAAATGTACAATGTACATGTATTTTTATGCATCTCTGATTCACATGTACATGTACAAGTGTATGTACATGTACATGTACATATATTTGTGTGTGTGATCAATGTGTGGTATGTGTTTGTGTGTTTCTCTAACAGTCTGTTTGTGTGTGATGAATTACTTCCATATATGTATTTAATCTGTATGTGTCTCTCTCTCTGTGTGTCTGTCTTTGTGTGTCATGTTGTAATGATATTACACTGTAGTATCTGTTTCCATTTTACTATATAAACTGTTTGAGAGCTATGATTAATGAAATTAATGAACCTTTATCAATTATAGAGGAAAGAGAGAGAGGGAGGGGAAGGGAGAGAGAGGGAAGGAGGGATCCGAGGGAGAGAAGGAGAAAGAAATCTACATGTACATGTACATGTATGTATACATTGTACATGTACATGTACATTACATAATTAATTAGTAAGATAGATTGTAGTGTCCTTTGGTATCATGTTAATATTCTTCATGTAGTTGCGTATTAATCAAGAAGACAATGACACCACCTCACTCCATGACAGAAGTGAGCAGGCTGTATCTTCTTCTCCTGGTCAAGAGTCATCAGGAGCTGTTCCTACTGGATCAAAGGAGAGGAGAGGAGAGGAGAAACCATCAGAGGCTGGAGAAGGAGAGAGGAAAGATGAGGAAGCCACAGAACAAGATACTTTGGGTGATCTTGAACAAGGTATGTACAGTATGCATGGGAACAAGAAAGAAACACTTTGTTGTTTTGTCTTCATTTAGACTGATTATTACGCATTTCTCACTCTCCTCCCTTCCTGTCTCTTTTCTCTCCTCCTTCCTCTCTCTCTCTTTTATCTTTGACTAGAAACATGTACATGTGTATGTACATGTATTACATGTACAAGTAGATGCATGTTTACATGTAGCTCAGTTGTACATGTATAGTACTTTTCCACTTATTATACATGTACCATGTACTTTATGCCTTTTTTAAGTTCTCTTCTATTAATCTTTTCCTTCCTCCCTTCTCTCCCTCTCTCTCCCCCTCTCTCTCTTTTCCCTCGTTAGTACGTAAGCATAAACCAGTCACGAGGCGTAGAACCATCAGAAAGCGAGACTCAGGTGACCTTCCTCGTAGTCTCCTTCCCTCACAGATAAGAGCAAAGTGTATTGAGGAGATACTAAACACTGAGAGGGTCTACGTACAACATCTTAAGAATATTGTAGAGGTAAGGGGCCTTCTATATAGGCCCATGGGGGCTGACAGGGGGACCGGTGTTTATTGTGATTTTTATAGGGGTTCCTGTACCCATGCAGAGAGAGGGTGCAACTTTTCAGTCAAGAAAGGGTCGAGACCATATTTTCAAATATTGAAGATATTTACAGGTAAAATTAACAAAATGTACATGTACATGTATATTGCTCATTATTTTCTTATGCATGTACATGTACATGTCATGTACAACTTATAGATGTACCGTACATGCATGTACATGTAATATTAAAATGCATCATATTATCCTGTTTTTTACTTTTAGATTCCAGCAAAACTTTCTTGATCAGTTGGAATCAAGAATCAATTTCGGTAATTTAGAAGACTCACTGATTGGAGAAATATTTGTGATTATGGTAAGCAAGTTTACTAAGTTTTACTAATAATATACAATTTACAATACATTAAGTACATTAATGTTGTACTAATATAGTTTAATTATGTTAATTGTTTTTCTTTGTAGAAGGACAGTTTTTCAATGTATTCCGAATATTGTAATAATCATCCTCATGCAGTTAATGAAATGAACCTCTTACAACAGGACCAGCAATATGTGTTGTTCTTTGAGGTAAATAATAATAATAATAATTATTATTATTATACATGTACATGTACACGTACATGTAGTTATTACATGTATACATGTACATGTACTTTAGAAGCTAGCAAGTGACCATGGACTATTGCTAATGGCATGTTTTTATTCATGGCTCGAAGAGAAATTACTACTTTTATTGCATTTTTTGATGCATATACATGTACATGCACATGTACATTGTACATGTTCTTATGTTGCTTGAAAGGTTTGAGCTCATTCCAATCAAAGTTAGAATTTTTATATAAATTTACATGTATAAAGTTGCTCAAAGATTTGGCCAACGACCAAATGCTACAGCCTTTGATTGTTGGCCAAATTTGGTCAAAAATGGCTAGAAAAAATCCTTCATTTTTATTATTTTTCTAATACATATACATACACATGTACATGTATACACATGTATGTTCTTACATTTATGTTGTGTAGAAAGTTTGTGCTTTTTCCGATCAAATTTGGATTTTTAATGAATTTTTAAAGTGACTTCAAATGCCATGCACATGTACAGTACATGTATTGTAGTGCTTCTAAACCCAGCTCACATCTTACATGTACATTGTACATGTATGTTATTTATGCATGTATAATAATAACTACATGTGTGTATATTTTACTTGTACATGTTTAGGCTTGTAGATTACTCAAAGAAATGGCTGATATATCACTGGAAGGATTTCTATTGAATCCAGTTCAAAGAATATGCAGATACCCACTACAGCTATCAGTGAGTGATGAGGTGTAGAGCAAAGAGAGGGAAATATTTTATGAGCTTTTTGATGTCTTTGTGTGTGTAATGAAGTATAAAGAGCATGTGTTACATGTGTATTTATTTGAATATCAATTTATGTTACAAGCATCGTTCACATTCCACCCTTCTCACTCCCTCTCTCTCTCTCTCTCTCTCTTTTTCCCTCTTTCTCTTTCTCTCTCCCTCCTCTCTCTTCCCCCTCTCTCCCTCTCTCTCTCTCTCTCTCTTTCTTAGGAGCTAAAAAAGTACACTCCTGAGTCTCATCCTGATTATTGTCATGTCGTGGCAGCACAAGCTGCAATGACTCAAGTGGCTATACTCATTAATGAGAGGAAGAGACGAATGGAAGCATTAGGAAGACTTAGAACCTGGCAGACTAACGTTGAGAATTGGAAGGTATGGACCACAAGTAACATGTACATCTACTCATGTACATGTACATATACATAATTATCGTCTAGCAAACTGCAAACAAGAGTGTTCTTAAGTACAAACTGTCAATGGACCCACACAATTAACAAAATTTGTTTTAAAATTTTTTATGTACGTGTACACGTACATTTACATGTAAACCAAAGCTTAGTGTACCTATGTACATGTAGACTATAAGATAGTTCAACAGTAGCAATTGCAATTACATTATAATTCATGTCTACATGTATGTGTAGTTAAAATTTTTTGACTATACATGTACCTAAATAACAGAGATTGTGTGTCAATTCCAATCACTATGTACATGTACATGTACAGTTACATGCACTTCGTACTTTTAGTAAACTTTCACTAATTTTTATTTAATTCTCTAATTAATTTTATTGAATATGTAGGGTGCTGATCTAATGGAGACTAGTACTGAGTTGATACATGGCACTGAATTACACAAAATATCAAAAGGACGCTGCCAAGAGAGACACTTCTTTCTGTTTGACCATCAACTGGTTTACTGCAAAAAAGTAAATGAAATTGATTGGTGTGATTCACGCATGTGTACAGTAGTTTTTTTCTGTATTTTGGCTTCAAAATTACGCCCCCAGATTATACATTATTGATTCCCTTATGTTATAATTGCTATTTACATGTACACATGTACATGTAGCTGTTTCCAACGAATATTCTTTGAATTATGAGCATTTTAAGACAAGCTAACTTTTGACAAATATACATGTACACATGTATAACATGTACATAATTATTTTGAGTTATGGCCATTTTAAAAATATACATGTATATGCCAATTTCTGGATATTATACTACAATTTACATGTACATGTACATGTACATGTATGTCATTTTGATGTGTCTTAGGATACAATCGGTGGAAGGTTGTCTTACAAAGGTCGTGTGAATACTGACAAGTGTCAAATAATCGACTTGAAAGATGGCGAATGTAAGTACAGTACATCTTATACTGTATCATGTTAATATTAATATATGGACTCCTGTGTAGGGTCTCATGGTGGTAATGGTGTTAAAAATGCTTGGCGGATTAATAATTTTGATAAAGATGACAAGTGGTACGTGTTGTTTGCTAAGAATGCAAAAATGAAAGAGGAATGGATGGAGGCTTTCAAGAAAGAGAGAAGACAAGTGGAGGATGACAAAATAAATGGTTTGTTATTTAACATACCTACATGTACAGTACATGATGTATACATGTACATGTACATGTGTACACGTACATGTGTACATGTACAGGTACAGTGCCACAAGTTTATATGTACAACATGGTAAACAACCTTAAAACTCCAAAGCTTATCATATTAACTTTTTTAGGGAAACGCACCTGTACTAAGTTTTATATTATATAATGTTTTCCCTCTCTCTCTTTTCATTAGGTTTCATCATTACTCCTAAAATGAAAAGAGCTGCCATTGCTCTGTTTAATACCACCAGTGAGCCAATATCAAGGAAACATCCACCAAAAAAGAACTATGGTAAGTAACAATAGCTAATAACACTAATAACACTGTTCAGTCATTAAATATACACATGTACATTGTACATGTACTATACTGTCATCAGTGTTCATGTGAGAGATACTGTTAGTATAAAAGTAACAAGCTACTGGTAACGCAGCAAAATACAAGTCAGATAAAAGCACAACAATGTAGTATTAAGTACATATACAACAAATGAATATTATGTATATAATACATGTACATGTATATACAAGAGGGAAGCAGAAAGAGAAAGATAAAAAGAATAAAGGAGTTAACGAGACACATACCTTTCAGCAAGAGCAAGGTGAAGAGAGTTAGAAGAGTGTATGTATGGTCTTGTGATATGATGACCTGGCACCTCTCAGGCACACACTAGTACTAGGATACTCAAATTTACTTTTTGTACATACTTGTTGATTGCCATGATTGTTGCTAACACATGTACTGTACATGCACATCTAGACTTTGCTTTCATTGTAAGGTTATAATAATAATAATATGGGGCTTCTAATAATTCATGTATTCTTGAACTCTAAACTAAATTGTTGTGTGAATAAGTTTAATTGTTACCTTATATTTATTAATGATACTTTGTATTTTGTAGAATTTTCTAGTGAGAGTCTACCAGTTGGTATGATAAACACTTTACCAGCTGGAGCAAGAGGAGGAGAGATAACAACATCACTGACTTTCTCACCAGGAGAAAGAAAGAAAAGACAAAAAAGAAAATAAGCTTTTATTGTATTATAATTATCGTTTTTTGTAGAGCGGATGGTTTATATTGTTGTTGTTGTTGTCATTGTTGATATTTTTATTTTATGTGTAACTTCACGTGTTTTAGAGTTGATACTTGTATTATAAGCAAATTTCTCTCTTTGTTTCTTTATTTCTCCCTCTTTTCCATCACTTCAATTATTATAATATCAATAACATACATAAAATACTAAAATTAACTAAATTTAAGTTGTATGACAATAGTTTTGCTTTGGAGGTGGGTCATAAAGAAGCTGTGAGGTTGAATTTTAACATTTTCTGTTGTGAATTTTTATTTACAACATTGTGATGGCCTATCATTTTGGAATTTTGCAGCTCTGCCCCATTGGTTGGTGATTCAGTGGATAGTCTTTCAACATGTTGCTGGTGTCCATTGTCTTCTTGTTGAGTGTCAGTCAAGTTATTAGTCAATGTCCACCTTCCTCAGATAAAACACTGGATGTATATAATAACAACTGTATAGGTTTTTATAGGTATCTACCTGAGGTATGATGGAAACTGTTATCCTAATGGGTCATATTTTCGAAAGTTTGATGTCAATGAATTTTCTAAAGCTATATCATGTGTGTTACCTGGTACTAGTCTAACTACTGGTCAGTGGGTTAGAGTTGCTGATCCTGATGATCCTGTTGACTGTAACAGTAATAGTACCAGTGATCCTTTTCGTTGTACTTATGTCACTTTACCTGCTACTATCAGTCTTTATTTTGTTCAGCAGGAGAGACTGAGAGAAGGATGGTACAAGTGTTGTCTACCCACTGATTGTTCTACTGCTACTGATATCATCTTTGCTTCCCTATCCAGTAAGTATTATCATTTTATACTACACTGATTGATTTTAGTATAGATTGGGCACAAAAAACAGACATTACAGTTGACCTTCCTTTAAATATGAAACTTCTACCTCAAGAATACACACTGCATGCTATAACAATTCAATATAATCGGTACTTACAAAATGCCACTTGGTACTATGAGTCTAGTAGTACTAGTACTAAAATGACTGCTGGTATCTGTACTGGACAGTCTGGATACAGTTGTACTATTGGTAATGGAGTGTTACTGCACAAAAGTAATGAATCACATGATTATACTCTAACTGTTACTTGGAATGGAGAGGCTATTACTAGTGGAGCACTGAGTCAATCAAACAACAATGGGGATCATGTGTACAGATTCTATTTGTATGTTGGCAATATTGATAAAAATAATGTTGTACAACGAAACAAGTATCATACTATATCAGGTATAATATTTGAAAATTTTTCATATAATGTGCAGTTTTTTTAGTACCAGCAATTGCTCCCTCTTGTCTTATTATTGTCAGCAAGACAGCTACCACTATCAATGTCAGTTGGACTAAACTTGATTCATCTGATGCTGATGGATATGTAGTCAATGTCACGAGTGACACAGACACAGTGCAGACAGTACAAGTGGAGGGAAGTAGTAATAATACAATCACACTGAATGGACTGAGAGGAGGAACAACTTATAGCATCACAGTCAGAGCCTATCAACAATTACTGGGACCTGCTAGTAGTGCAATCAGTGTACAGACCATGCCAGGTATTAAACCATTTATTGTACTGTAAGTTCGTAACATCATTATGTATTTCTAGTTACTAACTGCAGCTCGTCATGCATAAACTCTCCTTCAATTTGTAGTACAACTACAGTGTTAAAATTTTATGGTAAGTAAAACTATTTGCAATTTTTACATTATCAGTTAAACTTGCTTTAGATACAACTACAACACCATACTATTACTATACTTCATTGATATACTTGCCCTGGCAGGGCAAAACTACTACAGTCAGTACTGCTACTCCATCAGTTTCAGTAACTCCATCAATCAGTGATTCATCAGATAGTGTTATTGTTCTTGGTGTGTCAGTAGGTGTATTGTTGATTCTACTAACTGTCAGTGTTATTATTAATATCTGCTGCTACTTTATAAGGTATGTTAAATTCTTACAAAATTATAATTTATTTGTTCCTTATTAGAATGAAAAGTTCTTTGACAACCAAACAAACAAAGTTAGTATAAATTATTAATCCACAGGCTATTTTTGTATGATAGATCTGATGATGATATTGCAATGCAAGTATGTGAACCATATGAACTTGATAAGCCTGAACTAAGTGAAGATAATCAAGTAATATACGAGGAAATTTAAAGTGTTGCTTGATACAAGTCTGTCATTTCAAATAAAACATTGATTAATGTTTGAACAAAATGTTAGCTTAATAAATTAATATGTGAATGTAGTTTTCCATTTTGGAAAATGATTATCCTATTGTGTTGTGTGTACATTATAGTTATGTAGTTAATGAAGTTTATGTTTGTCTCATAAGTATAGCAATTGTTAGGTGAGTGAATTAAAATTACATCATTGTTAAAAGAATTATCAAGTATAGTTCATTAACTGCATGCATGCACATTATCAATTGACTGTAATGTACCATGGTTATTTTACAGAAATTAATGTGAGTTACATGACAACTCTTTGTTTTTAATTATAAGTCATTGAGCCAGAATCATTACTGGTCCTCTCAGCAATGTTTCTTCTCACTTTCAAATATTATAAGGCAAACTACAAATTTCATGCACTTTTATGTACAGTTAAAACATCTCAACTAGACTACCTCATGCGCTGCTCTGGGAAAGCATGCAAAGTGTGCTATAGAAGTTTGATGATGTATTGTACTTTGAAAGCATGAATTGCATGTACCTTTTTTAAAATTAAATCTATTTAAGTTTGCTTATGCATACTCAGACTGTGAAAATTGCTTTAGTTCAAAAAAAAATTGCAGCTCTGCCCCATTTGTAGGTGATTCAGTGGATAGTAAATAATAATAATAATTATTATTATTATTATGATAACAATAATAATGATAATAAAATAATAAAGTCATGCATGCACTTTGAATGCTTATTATGGCATGCAACTTCTTGATCAATTTACTGTACACTATATTACAGAACACCAAAGTGTTTCAAGCTAATTATTATAACTTGTATCATTGACAGTCTTGTTACTTTAACCTAATAATAGGTGGAAAAAATATCAGCAATTCTAAATTTAGTATGTCTCATTGCTATACAAAAATTACCATCACTCAAAATAAATCAGATTTATGGTATTATAAAACAACCATAATGCCTTTAAAATGATCTGGTCTTAATTTTGTAGTAGTAATGATAATGTCATTGTAAAAAATAACATTACATAGAATACTATAAATTAGCACAAATGTATAAATCTAATAGACTATTATGATTATTGTCATTTTTTTTTCAAAGCAATTAAATTTGAAGTGGCAAATACATTTCCTTATGTTGTGTAGAAACTTTGAGCTGATTTGAATCAGAAACTACTCAAAAATTTTGCCAAAAATCATAAGAGGAGGATTTGCCATTTTTATACTATTTTTTGTTAAAATTACATGCTATTTTATTGTGTAGAAAGTTTGAGCTAATTCCAATCAAAATCAAATTTCTGAAGCTGCTAAAAATTTGGACCAAAGTTCCTGTAGATCTCTACTGCTTTTATTTTTTGTTTATCAGTTGGGCCTCTGTTTATGGTCAGGCCTCAAAAATTTTGCAGCTCTGCCCCATTGATTGGTGATTCAATGGATAGTCTTTCAACATGTTGCTGGTGTCCATTGTCTTCTTGTTTATTATCAGTGAAGTTATTGGTCAATGTCCGCCTTCCTCAGGTAAGACACTGGATGTGTATAATAACAACTGTATAGGTTTTTATAGGTATCTATCTGATTCATAAGGGAAACTGCTATCCTAATGGAACATTTTTTTGGGACCATGGTGTCAATTCAGATATTGAAGCTATATCATGTGTGTTACCTGGTACTAGTCTAACTACTGGTCAGTGGGTTAGAGTTGCTGATCCTGATGATCCTGTTGACTGTAACAGTAATAGTGCCAGTGATCCTTTTCGATGTTCTTCTCTCACTTCACCTGATGCTACTCTCACTCTTAAACTTGCTGAGAGACTACTAGCAGATCAAGAAGGCTGGTACAAGTGTTGTCTACCAACTGACTGTTCTACTGCTATGAACATAATCTTTGCTAATATATACAGTAAGTGTTTTTCATTCATTAATTGTTAGCTAAAATATCAGTATTCAACTTTTTTACCATCACCATAAAAATTCGTAATAAATAAGCATGCATCTAAAAATGACACTTACACATGAATTTACAGGAGCACTTGTAGGGGAACTGTAATTTGCCCTACATAAAAAATTAGGGATAACAGTATTGAGAGGTAGAACAAATTTTTCCCTAACAAAAGTTCTTTGACAGTACATTGTGCTTTTAGCATTGTTGGCAGAATGAAATACTAATAATTTGGTAAAATAAATTTTAGCAAAATATCTAATTATAACAAATTGAGGTCTGTTAGCCAAATTTTTTTTTTCATAAGGCCCTATAGCCGCATACTCATAGTCAAATTTTAGTGATAACTATAGTTTTGCTGATGTGGAAACATATGCATGCTAATTAATATTGCGTACATTGTTACTGTCATTGTTACATAGGATGGGCACAGATTACTAAAATTAATGTTGACCTTCCTTCAAGTATAACAGTACTGCCTCAAACATACACACTACATGCTATAC